AAAGCACCTATAGTAGCAAACAAGACAGAACCAGGTCTGCTCTCGAGAATCTACAAGAAAGACCAGTAGTGAGGAATCTTCCTCTTGAGGAGTGGAGGTCGGCACAGTATTTTACTGCTACCAATCAGTAAAATCTCAGTGATGCAAGGGAGGCTGGGAAAGGGACTTAATCTAGCTAGTCACCTCGTTCTACACTCAAGGACAGCAAGCAATCTGTTTCTAAAGGAACTTGTGTGAGCTGGATACCGGTGGCCCACACCTGTAATCCTAGCTACTCAAGAGGCTGAGATCTGAGGATCACGGTTTGAAGCCAGCCCAGGCAGAAAGTCCCCGTGAGACTCTTACCTCCAATTAACCACCCAAAACCAGAAATGGTGCTGTGACTCAAGGGGTAGAGCACTAGCTATTAGCACAAACAGGCTCAGGGACAGCACTCAGACCCTGAGTTCAAGCCCCACAGCTGACAATTAAAAAAAAGGAGCTTGAGCATCAAAGGACTAATTCAGTCCTTCAGAATTCCCAGGTAAACACTGGCTTTACTTACTATCAGCAAGGAGGCCAGCTTCCTCAGCTTTGAATTACCCTCCCCCACCCCCTTCCCTTCCAAAGTACATCAAGCCAGAAAGCCTCAGGGGCAGAAGTAGTTCCCAGCCTGGGACTATTAAAACCCCAGGAGGCCCAGTGAGATCTAAGGGTGACTAAAGTTGTTTTCAATATGTCACAACACCCACACACACAAAAAATTAACCCTACCCAAAATAAAACCACAAAGGCAGATTGAAACATCTTTAACATGCTGAATTTTTACCAACTCATTGTGGCCACGCTAATCAGGAGCCTTGATTGGCTGTTGACATAAGAATCATGGGGATATTGATTTTATTGTACATTCAGTCATAGACTCTTTTGTTAATTTGGAAAGGAAAAAAGTAAATGGTTCTACTTAGGGTACAATATGGCAGATACAAACACAGAGCACAGGACATGGATACAACACAAGAAGGCCTTGGTAACAAAAAGGCTTGGAATTGTTGCTTGGGGGCTTGAGCTGAACGAGCACCCCCCTTTCTCACCCTCTGGGGTCTGCAATGCTAGCATGAGAGGGTTTTCTTCTCCAGCCGGGCTGACCCCACGTCACAGGATCCCACAGAAGTAGTGGGGAGGCCTGAAGGAAGGCTCAGCACAGGTGGGTGGGCGGGTCAGCAGTGAAGTGGACAGGAGCCCTGGGGACACCTGGCATCAGCAGCTGGAGAACAAATAGAAAAAAAGAGAGTCACTGACCCACAAATGCTGCCAGGCAGGGACAACAGCAACCCCTAGGGCATGAAACTCTGGGGGAGGGGAAGATTTAGAGCCTCCTAACCAACAGGTTTGCAGTTCAGAACGTTGGACCCCATGATCAGAAAGGGCCCATGTTCAGGAGGGCCCTGAAACTGGTTTAATCAGGAGAACTAGGCTCTACTGTCATCAATCTGAAATTTTTCTTCTGTGCTGTAGATCAAGGCAAGGCCTAGAGCCTGAAAGACAAGCCTTCTACCACAAATTACACACCCAGGACAGAATCTGGGTGAATGTGTTTGTGGGCCAATCCTGGGGCTTCACCTCAGGGCCTGGGAGATAACCCTGAGCTTTTTTGCTCAAGGCTAGCGCTCTACCACATGAGCCACAGCTCCATTTCCAGCTTTTTGGTGGTTAATTGGAGATAAGAATTTGAAAGACCTTCAATGATCCTCAGATCTCAGCCTCCTGAGTAGCTAGGTTTACAGGTGAGCCACCAGTGCCTTTCTTTTTTTTATTTTTTAAGATGGGGGTTTTGCTGTATTGCCCAAGCTAGTGTCCTACTACTGACCTCAAACAATCCTCCCCATGACTGTTACAGGGCATGCTATAGCAACTGGCTTTAAATAATTTTAAACAAAAGGTCTATGTTTTCATTTTGAATAGTAGCCTCCACAAACTGTGGAATCAGCTCTGCCAACCAAAGTGCTCTTAGGCCAAAGAAAGTGACAGTGGGGCGCCGGAAGCTCACACTCCAAACCCTAGCTATTCAAGAGGCTGAGATCTGAGGATCAGGGTTCAAAGCCAGCCCAGGCAAAAAAAGTCCATGAGATTCTTATTTACAATTAACTGGAAAAAAAAAAAAAGCAAAAACTGGAGCTCTGGTTTAAGTGGTAGAGCACTAGCCTTGAGCAAAAAAAGCTCAGGGGCAGCACCCAGGCCTTAAACCCAAGCCCCAGAAAAATGTGAATAAGCACAGGCATTATAGATCTGGGCACCATCCCAAGCCACCTGCACAAATGGAAGGCACACTTTTTTTTTTTTGGTTGGTCATAGGGCCTGAACTCTGGGCCTGGGCACTGTCCCTCAGCTCTTCAGCTCAAGGCTAGCACTCTACCACTTGAGCCACAGCACTACTTCTGGCTTTTTCTGCTTATGTAGTGCTAAGGATTCAAACCCAGGGCCTCATGCATGCAAGGCAAGAACTCTAGCACTGAGCCACATTCCCAGCCCCAGGTTGTTTTTTTTTTGACCAGTAATGGTGCTTGAACTCAGGGCTTGGTCTCTGTCCTTTAGCTTCTGCATTCAAGGCTGGCACTCTAGCTAGCACTGGAGTCACAGCTCACTTTTTTGGTGGTTAACTGGAGATTAGAATCTCACAGACTTTCCTGCCCAAGCTAGCTTCAAATTGGAATCCTCTGTGAAAGACGGTTTGAATAATGTCTTGAGGGGAAAAAAAAAAACAAACATAAAGATATGTTACGGAACACATCCAATTTATCTTTATTTAACAATGTTTCTCCCAAAAAATGGTCTGAAAATACTGCACCAGATAGAGGCACTTTGTAGACCAGAACAAATGAGCACAGCTTAGTGTGAGGGCAAAATGCATTTTCAAACTCAATCTGTATCGGAATCATCTGGGGACTTGTTTAAAAAAACAAAAAGGGGCTGGGAAGGTGGTTCCGTAGTAGAGCGCTTGCCTTGCATACATGAGGCCCTGGGTTAGATTCCTTAGCACCACATAAAGCAAAAAAAAACAAGTTGGAAGTGGTGCTGTGGCTCAAGTGGTAGAGTGTTAGCCTTGTGCTGAAGAGCTGAGGGACATTGCCCAGGCCCAGAGTTCAGGCCCCACGACCGGATGGAAAAAAAAAAGCCAGGTACTGGTGGCTCACACCTGTAATCCTAGCTACTTGGGAAGCTGAGATCTGAGGATCCCGGTTTGAAGCCAGCCTGGGCAGAAACATCCATGAAACTCTTATCTCTAATCACAAAAGAAAAAGCCAGAAGTGGTGCTGTGGCTCAAATGGTAGTGCTAGCCCAAGCCCTGAATTCAAGCTCCAGCACTCGCACAAAAAAATAAAAAAATAGGTCAGGTGCCAGGAGCTGGTGCCTGTAATACTACTTAGGAAGTTGAGATCTGAAGATGCTGGTTCAAAGCATGCTCTGGCAGGAAAGCCAACGAGAGTTTTATCAGCCAGAAGAGGAGCACCAGCCTTGAGCAAAAAAAGTTGGGGGAGGAAGCGGTGCTGTGGCTCAAGGTAGAGTGCTCGCCTTGAGCTGAAGAGCCCAGGAACTGTGCCCAAGCCCAGAGTTCAAGCCCCACGACTGACAAAAAAAAAAAAAAGCTGGGGGACAGTGGCCAGACTCTTGAGTTCAAGCCCCAGGACCAGCACTCCCCCACCCCAAGAAAAAAAAAGTCTCAAAAATGAGTGAGAAAGCCAAGAGAAAGCACAAGGCTGGGTTGAGGCCCTGGTATAGCAGGCACCAAAAACAAAATAACCTCAGCAGCCAGGCGCCGGTGCTGACACCTGTAATCCAAGCTACGGAGGCTGAGATTGGGGCTTGAAACCAACACCCCCCCGGGGGGGGGGGAGTCTGTGAGACTCCTGTCTCCAATAAACTTATCAGAAAAAGCTGTGTCACCGAGGCTCAAGTGGCAGAGCGCTAGCCTTGAGCACAAAGGGGCTCAGGGCCGGCGTCCAGGCCCCGAGTTCAAGTCCCAGGACCAGCAAAACATGAAACTAAAAATAAGAGGTTCCTGAACCCTTCACATCTTCAAAGTCAGAAACAGGGAGAGGAGCCATGAGAAGAAAAAAAATAAATCTGCAGGTTCCCAAGGCACCTCCATTTAAAGGTGACACCGACTTGCAGTCGTTAGGAGCGGAGGGCGGCCCGGCTCGGGGCACGGCGAGCGCCGGGCATGCGGGAGATGCTGGGCTCAAACCTCACCGCACGTTAAAAAAAGGTGGATTCGTCAAAAGGCTATCGGCCCGCGGGGGAGATCCCGGCGGTGCCGGCCGCACTCCGCTCCGGCCCGGCCCGCCACGCCCCCCGGAGCTCAGAACCCGGCACACTCCACACGCTCAACACCAGACAGCGGCTCTTCTCAAGACAAAGCTTTTATTTAGCCTGCGGCGTCCCGACCCCCCCACGCCTACCGCCGTCGACGCAGCTCAGCGAGACCTAAGGACAAATAACTGCAGCTGCGCAACTGGAGGAACCTACCAGAAGGAAAAGAGCCCCGATTCCGGGATTGGAGTTAAGACGGGGCGGGAGCATCTCACCGGCGTGCCAATCAGAACGCTCCGGGCCGGCGGGGCGGAGTCACGGGACTTACGGGCACGTGCGCAGGCGCGGGGGCGGGAGCGAGCGAGCGAGCCCGCCCGGGAGCGAGCGCGCCCGG